AGTTTGACACTTGATACTGATGAGGCCTGTTGTGCATGGATTTGCAAATAAATGGTACTTAAATTCAAAACCAAACAAAAACATTTCTTTGTGTGTGTGTGTGAGACAGAGAGACACTTTATTGCTTTATTGCTAGCAAGTGCGACTGGTGGTTGAGGCACAGGAACGATCAAGCAATCTATCTATCTATACAGCAACGTGCCACTATTTGATTGGCCTCATCCAATGACAATCATCTCCCCGCCCCGATCCCTGTCAGGCACCAGGAGGACCAATTGCACAGCCGATTGATAATGATTTAGAAGAAATGTGGGTGAGGGGGAGATGGTGGAAGAGAGAAGCCATTAACCCCCCTATCCATCTCGCCCCCTTTTCTAACCCTATCAGTCTGCTCTATCACGCCGTCCTTTGTGAAAATACGGCAGAGTAAAACAGAGAGAGAGATGAGGGAGAGACAGAGCTATCTAGTGACAGCTAGGCTTCCATTAGGACCGATAGCATCGCGCTAAACACAAGGGTCTGAGCACGGCTTTCTGATGAGGCACGCACACATTCCATCAAGTACGCACTTTTTTTCCCAAGGAAAAACCCCGACGACGATGGGACAGGAATGAAGGAGGTGCGAGAAAAAGGAAACACAATTAGGAAAGAAAGAGGGATAGAGAAGTGAACTTTGAGCCATTAAGAGAAATGGAAACTATTCATCCGTGGATAATGACGGGGTCTTGGTTAGTCTCCCCACATATCTACCGCTGTTAGAAGGAATTAGCATTACTTTTCAGGTTTTTTTCTTGTGGTTACTTTCTTTTATCCTGTCACGAAAACTCCCTTTTAGTCACTGTACGCTGCTACCACCTCGCTGCACGGGGTCTATTAACATTTACATAGCAATGAATGATGTGTGTGTATGTGAGACATGCAAGTACTCACTCAAGCTTTCAGGCCAGTGATGAGTGGAAGTGATGCTGCTAGAATCGTACTCAAATCTAAATGAACGGGTCGGAAGCTTAGTGGGCTCAGCAGCTGAATAAAGCTGCTGGAAAATAAATGATGAATCAATGAAAACAAAAAAATCTTTAGGGGGAGGGTGGGGGCACACGTCCTCTTAATGTAATGTCCATTTAATGTAAAATCACACTTCCTGCATGCTGCACGTACAATCTGAGAGCGCTAAACAAAAAGGTGTCGGCAACAATCGCTGATGTTTAAATGCTGCATTATGCTCCATCAGCCAGAGTTTGATTAATCACTTAAATTAATCTTTTAGCTACTTAAAACTGACTGATTAGCTGTATCCAGTTCACTAAAATGTCAGTGTTGATTGATACAACCAGCTGCATATTGTGTATGTCGATGTCAGACTGTGCTAATTTGTTTGCTAACGAGATTGGCTTCAAACCAGTTGTATGTGAACGTAAACAGATCCCAGAACACACACACACACACACACACACACACCTGATGTCTGACAAAACCCTATGGGTAAGATATTATTTGATGAGGCCGTGTTGAGAGAACCAACAACACAATGTGGTCCATTGATTGCTTACGTTAGGGACTCAAACCAATCATGTGAATGGCAAAAGAACGTTGTGCACGCGAGCACGTGCATGAATACATATTCCTTTGGGGGAGGGGGGGGTGATAGTGTGGTTTAAATGTGGAGGGGGAAATTTCTTTCGGGCTATGAATGGAAAGTCAGACAACGATGCTAGCCCACACACAACACAAAGTCAAACACACCAACATATGTTTAGATACCGACTGTGTGTGTGTGTGTGTGTGTGTGTGTGTGTGTGTGTGTGTGTGTGTGTGTGTGTGTGTGTGTGTGTGTGCCAAAAAGAAAGAAGGGGTTGCATCACTGTGCGAACGCATAAACCGTCCCCGTGCTTGACACTTGAACAATGACATTGTCTCATGCATACTCATAATACATCATTTCCCTCCACTTTATCAAGCCCTCCAAGTCCTTCCCGTCTGTTTCCAGGACGCTCGCACCAAACAACCGTCCCCCTTCCCACACCGGGGGCGATGAATATTCATGCTTTCAGCAATTATCCGGCACCGCGCTCAACACCGCTACCATATGCATGGCTGCCATCAAAGACTCAAGGATGAGCGTGTCCGTGTGCGTATGACACTGTGAGGCAGAGTACAAGCACAAAGGGAGCAAGAATGGCAGCTGTAGCAGTACATTCTGCGAGAGAGCGTTCTACCTTGTTGGTCGCAAAATAGAAAAGGGAAAACGTTTGATGACAGAAAGTCTTGCCTCACCCATGTGATGATTTCCCACTGAGGAAGTTTTACCGCTTCAAAAAGTGAGTGTCGGGTCCAAGAGGGACATCGTTCGCAGGAAAGTTCACATTTAAACTAACAATCCGTACCAAAAGTGTCGAACCTGGCAAATAGCTCATTTACAACAGCGGTAACACCGCTTGGAGATACGAGCAGGTCATCGTCGCTGTGAGTCTGTGTGTGCGTGCACGCTCCAAAGGAGGTGAATCGAATATTAAAAAGTCCAGTGGGCAAATGTGATAGAAGCGCACAACATATAAGACAAACACATAACACACACACTCAAGCATGAAAACACACACACACAGCAGGCTGTCTGCTCCTGCTGTCCCTTCTTCTATTGATAATAATGACAGTGATGAATATAGCTGAAACAGAGAGTCATAAATCATAGGGCCTCGCCCCTAATGGTGACTCACCACCTGGTCCTGCATTGGTGTGTGAACGTGTGTGTAAGGGAGAGAGAAAGAGAGAGACGGGGGAGAGGAAAGGGAGGACTCGTCGTAGGATACGCATCAGTGGATATGTCCAGTGACACCTTAATGTGCTTGGCTTGTCTGAGGGACCCCCGCAGGCCACCGGCTAACACACACACACACACACACACACACACACACACACACACACACACACACACACACACACACGTCTGCTTGCGCGATGGCTATGTGTGTGTATTTCATTTGAAAATAGCGCTGTGTGGTTGCATTCATCTTGCAAAGTCACCAGTGTGTTAGTTTTTGTGTGTGTGGTACAGTGGCACCCTTCTCCAGCTTAAAACCAACCTCCTGCAACCATCAAGTCCATGATATTTGAGGGAGGGGGAGAGAGAGAGAGAGAGAGAGGGAGGGATGGGGGAGAAAAGAGGAACGCAGCAGCGAGAAGGAGATCATTAAAAACATGGGAATGGGATCAGTAGAAGGCGGTTGAGAGGGGAGGACTCAATTTGGGCTTAGATGGCAACATAGGAGCATGTGTGAGTTTGAGTGGGAGTGTGTGTGGCATCTGAGGCATGGATTTATAAAAAGTAGTGAGGGAGGGGGCATAGCGGGATAGATGGAGGGCAGAGGGATAAAGATGAGGGTAGGACGGAGGGCGAGAGGAGGGAATTGCCCCCTCTAGTCATTAGTGCTGGAAAGGGGTTTAGCCGAAGGCCTGGCAACCCCAGCCGCCCCCCCCCCCCCCCCCTCCTCCCCCATTCTGCTTAACCCGAGCCTGCAATCCATTAATGGGGATCAAACACCCAGTGAGATGAAGGTACATGTGTGTGTGTGATGATGGTGATGGGAGGTGGGTAGAGACAGAACATCCCTTAGTGCAAATGTGTGTGTGTGCGCGACAAATATAGTGATATGAGAAATTACTAATCCAAAAAGGATCAGAGGTGAAACCTTTTTTTTCTGTTTCTTTGCTGATCTTTAAAAGGACTGGTTTAGTGTATCAATGCTCAGGTGTATACACATCCATTTATGGCTGTGTGGGAGTGGAAAAGGGGCTTGTGCATCAGCACCCAATTCCACAATTAACATTTTTTAAAAAAACAAATCATGATTTTAGTAGTGAATCTAGTCTGGTCTACTCGAACCAGAGATTTTATCATGCAACACCAAAAGAGATTGGAAATGAGTTCTTCTTTGATCACATATTTGACTTTTCTGATTTGAGAAAATGTGTATTCTGATAACTTTGTTAAGACAACATTAAACAATGATTCAACGTGTGTACTTAGTTTTAATATCACTCACACACCTACTTCCCCACATTAAACAGTTTCAAACAATAACACAAGATAACAATAATGACCAGTGGCAAAACAAAGACGAAAAGGGGAAGGTGGATTTATATTTTATGGCCAGGCTTTGGCTTAGCGAGCTACAGACTAGGCTGGCCGAGCCTCAAACACTCTTCTCAAAGCAGACCTCGCTCCCCCCGTCTCACTCTATTCAATCAGGCAATCTTTTCCCATTTTAGATCTATTAAATCCAGACATATTTTCATCATGTACAACCCCACTTTCCTTCCTCCCCCCCACCTCCATCTCCGCTTCCTTCACTCACCACACTAATGAGACAGAAAAACAAGGGGAGCAGCTGGGCCTGGGGAGCAACAGAGATGCGACACGCTCTCCTCCACTCCCCCCCCCCAACCTCCCACCCACCATCAAAGTACACACAACCCTCACCAGAGGTGGAGCTGGTAATGACCGCGGGCACACACACACCACATGTGACCTATAACACACCCTGTGTGTCTGCGTGCGTAATGTCTTGATTATTAGCAAACTGACATTGTGGCCCTGTGCCTAGCTGGTGTGTGTGTGTGTGTGTTGCAGTGTAATCACATCCAGTGGGGATGCGTTGTGTTGTGATTGTACAGTGGGGGTAGGAGGTTTAAGACATATAGGAACTAATGGCCTAAGTTGGGACCAGGTTGTGGTGGTGAAAATTACTTTTGTAAAATTTAAATACAATAACAATTGTGTGTGTGAGCGCTTGGGTGTTGGTGCGTGCGTGTATGCAAACGTTGTGTTAACAAGGCATAGTTATCCCTACACCTTCGGTAAGTGCTGGGTTGGTTATGCAGGTTAATGATGGCCACATACATACAGCCATCATTACAGTGGCAAGACTTTCATAACTTTGACTTCCTGGAACGGGTTTTGTAAGCATTGGGTACCCGGATGCAGCCGCACAGGAAGAACTCACCTGTCTGTCAGTCAGCGTGTAGATGTACTGCATGTCTGGGCTGAACAGCATGTCTCTCAGCAAGGGACTTCCTACCTCGCTGACAGTCACCTTCTCGTAGAGCGCAGCTGGACGGGTCGGATTAACAGAGTTCACCAAGATCTGCAGGGACACATTGAGGAGAACCGTAAGGAAACAACTCACAATTTAATGACAAAAAACACCTAAGTGAGTACTTTAAAAAAGTAAAAATCAGTGAACACAAGTAGAACGTTGATTACGCACCAGATGAACACGCAGAGAGAAATATACACAAAACAGGTGGATATTATAACAGTGGTAGGCAGTGTGAAATTAGCAACATTTTAGCAAAAGGTTGAACGCGCCTGCCTCACTGAGCATAACGGCTTAATAGAAAAGCTTTGTTAATAGCTGTATTGAATATAGCATCATTATTGTGAACAAAGATATGATTAAAGGGGAACGTGAACGGAAAGGAGCATTGTTGACTGGATAATGATGTTGATCCAACGGTAGGAAGAGAGAAAAATTCTATTCAGCACCTGGGAAGAACTAATGAAAAGACTTTTAAAACTGAAATTATGACAAAGTATTTATGAAAACGCTGTTTTCCTGTGTGGAACCCAGAGAGAATAACGGCAAAATTATCTCTGGATTTCAAACACAAACTGACATGTACACGCTAAAAAAAAATCTCTGTACGCTTTGGCCAATAATTTGCCCAGATGTGGAAAGTAATGGTGCAGATACAGGATAGGAGATTGGTTGGCTGGGTACGGCTGTGAGCCAAAGTCATCTCAGCAGCAAATGAAAAGCGCAGAGCAACAGGGGGGAGGGCAAGCAGCAGCTCTCCATTACGGCGCTTTGTCGACTCGCGCTGCTATCAGCCCACGGTGACAAGGGAGGGACAGCAGGCAATAACTAGCTGGAAAATGATACTGAACACACACACAAACTGACGAATAGGTTCGCACCCGGATAGATGAGAAATGATTAGATGGAAACACAAGTGTGCACACACACACACACACACACACACACACACACACACACACACACACACACACACACACACACACACACACACACACACACACACACACACACACGGTGAGAGATATGCATAGGCTAACATGCGTTTCGATAGATACATAAACGATGAGCGCACACACTTTGTGATGAATTTATTTACAATATCACCAAAAGAAACCAGGGGCAAAAATCCCATCTCTCACTGCCTGTGTTTGTGCCAGGGAGAGAGGGAGAGCAAGGGAGAGGCCGAGAAAAAGGATGAAGAAAACGGGAGAGAGCGAGAGAGAGAGAGAGAGATGCAAGCTCATAAGGCTGTGATGAAGCACCGGAGGAGAGAGGAAATATGGTGTTATTATCTAGATAATGGGGCTGTAAACAAAGGATACATTTCATTCACGGATGGCTCGCATCACAATGAGCACAAGCCCGCACACCAACACACAAGGCGACGTACTGGGGTTCTAAACACCGGGAAAAAAACGTTTGTATGTACCCATCTGCGTCTCTTCGTGCATCTTCCAGCCTGCGAAATATAGAATGTACAAACTACCGTCTCTTCAGTCTATCTCACTTTGGTCAATACCAAGTCCAGTGTCACTTTGGAAACGGGGACTCAAAACGATGGCCGTTGATCGCACACGTTGACTTGATCTGACTTTTTGTCCCTCCTTACATTCATTTCTCCTCTGTCTTCAAACTCTCCTGTGTCCCCTCTCACCTTTCATATCATGGCAGGATGCAGCTCACGTAAAGTGCTCGCATTCAACGCACACAAGACAGTTGGGAGGGTGGCAGAGGTGAGAAAAGAGAAGAGTGGAGCCAGTAAGAGAGGGTGAGGGTGTGAAAACAACAAGTAATAAATTGTCCCAAATCAATTTATGCGCCAGGCGCCGCAGCGAAGGCCGGCTCGGAGATTATGGAAACCAGGGAGGGAAGAAAAGGACTACGGTGTATATATAAACCCACCAGATGGATGGAGGGATGAGGAACAGTTTTCTAATTGAATCAACCTGAGCCTCTGTGCTTGGGAACCAAGCGCTAGAATCTGATAATAAGGTTAACGGGCCGATCTGTACGTTCAGGAGGGTTAAGAGCTCCTTCTCGACGTGTACCATTATGCGTGTGCATTCACATATATGTGCATGTGAGCTTGCGGGACTCTGCGTGCACGTTTATCTACGAGCACCTGCAGTGTGTAAACGTGCACACATCAATTGACAGTGGTGCACTAGCATGTGTGTGCATGCACGCCGTCTTGTGAAAGTGTGCGCATGAACTGTGTGAAGAAATCGATGCGGCGATGATGATCGGAGACGCTGCCGCTGTCCCAACGTCTCCTCCGTATTGCTTAGCTTTCCACTAAGTGGTTGATGGATGGATTCATGGAGCGATGCTGCGCTTGTGTTTTTCGGGATAAGCCCGTCTCTGCTCTCTTGTCAACATGCATAATGCATCATTAACAGACTTTAAAACACATTAGGGGCAGTGTCTTAAGTAAGGACGTGGAGAAGCATCGAGAGAGGGAGAAGTGGATGAACTCAAAGCAGAGTGACAGCGGGGACAATAGAAGAATAGCAGATGAGGAGTACAGTCTTTGTTTCTCAATGGCGCTGATGTGCAACTCCAGACCCGTTTCCTCGGGATTGCTACTCAAAGATCTTCCACAAACCACACTCGTTATTCCTTACTGGGTGTCAATATTGCTTTTCAGCCCAACAAAGCAAAAAAGCAAGAGAAAAACATATTTTTCCAAAATGACTCTGTTCTCTGGAGAGAAGTGGCCCTGCAATGTCAAAAAACAAAAACAAATGTAAAGTTAAATGCCGTCAATGAGTAAATCAAGTTGTGGAATGACTTCTACTGCATTCATATAAGTGGCCCATTTTCAACATTTCCCTGCAACCCCGGGGATTTCATTACCATCCCAGACTTTTCCCGTCTGCAACATGCCGCTGGATATTCAGAAGCATTGCATAATTCCACTTTGAGAAAAAAAAAATACGCACAGCAGCATCATCACAATGACGCTGCCGTTTCCCTCCTTCCCTCCCTCTACAGCATGCATTTTTTTTATCTGTTCTCTGTGCATTAACACCTCCCTAAACCTGTCGATCCTCCCCAAATCCCCTAATGCTGGGTTTTATCTGCGCCGGGCAGGCCTGGTTAGCTCTGGTAGACACACAGGATAGCCAGCTGTTGATAGGGAGCCTGGCGGTGTGAGGGTGAGAGCTGGCCGATAAGACAGCGGCACGTCAACGAGAATGATGCCTGTCGGAGCCGCAAGTGACAACTGACGGAGCTTGTGTACATGATAGAGAGTGAGAGAAAGACTGGGCCTGCCAATTGCATGAATGTACTATGGGATGGTAGGAAAAGTGAAGAGAGCTGAAGGGCAAGTTCTTCTTTCTTAAAATAAAGAAGGAAAAAAAAAAAAAAGAGGAGGTGCATAGGAACTTCAAAGACTTCAGGAAATTGAATTAAAAGCTCAGGAAACGGAACAAAATGGTCCAGGTGTTCCCAGGTCTGACGGAGAGCCATAACATGGCGGCACAAGCACATAGCTGCAGTAATGGCTTTGACATTTCAAAGCCGATTTGGAGATGTGTGTGAACACAAAGCATACTTACCTCACTCACAGCATGTCTGAAAACACACACACACACACTTACTTGATAGAGGGGTACCTTGACATAAGTAGGTCTACCCATGCATAATGGCAGCAAGGCCCACATTCCTGACTTTGATGTGGAGGGGAGCCCCTGTGTGTATGTGCATGTGTTTAGGGGGCCCGGTTGAAGTGGGGAATTCAGTGTGGCCCTCTCCAGAACAAAAGAAAATGAAGTAAAGACGAGAGAAACGTGGGAAGGAGTGATGAAGTGGGTGAAGGAGTCAACAGATGACGATACTCTCAGTGATCTCAAGTATTAATACAACACTTGTAGGCTGTACTGGGCCCTAGTGTTGTGAATGCTACCAATGTTTCTATACAACAGTTGTATACTTTATTTCATCCAGGATACATCTCCCAGCCTCTTACAGTATGTGATCCTATCCCATGTTCTCCTTTCTTTCTGCTGTTAAAGATGATATGACTTGATAAAAACCTCTAAATGGGACGTGACTTTTTTCAATTGCAGTTTCTTAAGGTCAAGAACGAACATTGATCCTCAGAATTTAAGCCGATGTGAATAAGATGCTTTTAAGTTTTAACATTTTCTGTGGGAAAATGCTAATCTAATAATGAAGATCGGGTCATTACCACTGCTCAATGTTTTTTTCTACAACTTCCACTTTGACCCCGACCTTACAGAAACCCTACAAGGCCATGGTAGGGAGGAAGTCCTGTAAGCAGCCACACACATCACAAGAGGCTCTGTGGACACAGCCCAATGACAGCTCCATGTAAACGTCTCCCATATGGTGTGTGTCCCTCGGACTCCTGTTTTCTATCTGCAGCAGAGGCGCTCGGATAGGACTGAAATCACTCACTTCCTATTGTACGGTGAGCTCGGCAGAACTGGAGGGCGCCAAGACACAAAACAAATTGCGTGTCGAAACATCACAAAAACATATTTCCCCTATTGGCATGTTGTTGTTTTTATCAGAGAAAATCAAGAGGACAGGGCCACTAGCACTGAGCACTTGAACCTGTGCTCTCAAACACACACACAGTCACACACACTCACAAAGGCAGGTATAGAGGGCTGGAGTGCATTGTCAGTGAGTAGAAAGAATCCCCTGGATACATGAAAAAAAAAAGGAATAAGTTGTTGTATGTAGCAAGTGAAGCTCTCTTTTTCTTCCATAGCTCCAAGGTCAGGATTGTGTGTGTGTCCGCGTGACTTAGGAGCTGGGAGCAGATGGAGCATCACACATGAGTGAGTGATCGCTGTGATATATATCTACGGGACAGATCCACCACCATCCCACACATACACAGTATATACAGCCGACGCACAGAGCCAGCAGTAAACCTATACCATATGTGGGTCAGACAGCTTTTCCTTCAACCGCACCAAGATAGACAAAGACCTAGGGTGACAATGATGGAGGAGGCGTGCACTCAAACACACATTCATACATATATACACACACACACACACACACAC